TGAAACATAATCCACAGAAGATGGAAAGACTATACAGAATTACTGTACCAAAAAGAACATTCCACCATGTCAGACAGTAGCATATAAGCTAGAACTAGTGCTAAATGAAGACATTCAAACTATACTGAAAGCATTATACAAAAATAAGGTTCAAGGAATTGATGGAATACCAAGTGAAATGCTTCAATAACCTGAGAAAGCAATGGGAGAACTTTCTTATCTATGCCAGGAAATCAAAAAGACAGCTACTTGGCTAAGTGACTGAAAGAAGTCTATATTTGTACCCATTCCAAAGACAGGTCACCCAACAGAATGCTCAAACTATGGGAGAATATCATTGATATCACATGTAAGTTAAGGGGTTTTTATATGTATATGTATGTGTGTGTGTTTATATGTATATATATGTAAAGTTTTGCTGCAGATCATCCAACAAAGATTGCTGTAGAACATTGATGTTCAGAGCTTCAGGCTAAGTACAGAAGAGGACACGGAACAAGGGATGTCATTGCTCATGTCAGATGGAACTTGGCTGAAAGCAGATAATACCAGAAAGATATGTACTTGTGTTTTATGGACTATGCCAAGGCACTTGACTGTGTAGATCATAACAAACTATGGAGAACCTTGAGAAGGATAGGAATTATAGAACACTTCATTGTGTGCACAGAACAAGAGAATAGTGCACGGCTTAAAATCAGGAAAGGTGTGTTATGCTTGAATCCTCTCACCATAGTTATTCAATCTGGATGCTGAGCAAATCATCAGAGGCGCTGGCTTGTACGAAGAGGAATGTGGCGTCAGAACTGGAGGAAAGCTTATTAACAACTTGAATATGCAGATCACACAACTTTTCTTGCTGAAAGTGAGGAGGACTCGAAGCACTTGCTAGTGAAGACCAAAGGTTACAGCCTTCAGTGTGGATTGCAGCGCAATGTGAAGAAGACCAAGTTTTCCATACCCACCCCAGCATTTGTTGCTTCTGTTTTTCGAACTTTGCGATTGCTGGTAGAGTGAGGGCTATCCCATTGTTGTTATTTGTGTCTCTTAAATGGCTGGTCGTGAGCATTTCTTCATGTTTGTTGGCCACTTGAATGCTTCCTTTAGTGAGCTGGCTGTCCATGTCCTTTGCCCAATTTTAAATTCAATTATTTGTCATTTTTCTTGTCACAGTGCTGCAGTTTTCTACACAGGTATTAGCTTCGTCTGTGATGTATCATTGCCAAAAATGTTTTCCGAGATTGTGGGCTCTCATTTACCCTTTTGATGAAGTCTTTTGATGCACAGCGTTTTATTTTTAGGCTGTCCGAGTCATTTTGTCTTCCGCTTTGTGTGTGTTCCCCATTATGTTTGATACTGTGCTTATGGAATATATTAGGACCCCAAGTTTCTTATTGATGATCTTCATATTTCTAGATTTTAAATTTAGGTCTTTAATCCGTCCTGACATCACTTTTGTATATACAGAGAGGCATGGATCTGGTTTCATTTTTCTGCAAATGGATATCCGTTGTTAAAAAATCAGTTGTCTTTAAGTGCATGTATTTATTTCTGGATTCTCAATTCTGTTCCATTGGTATATATATCTACATTGTTCCAGTATTAGCTGTTTTGACTACCATGGCAATGTAGTAAATTTTGCGATCAGGAAGTACTTCTTAACTTATCTATTTCCTCTCAACATTAAGTTGGTGATTAGTTTTTCCATCTCTTTAAACAATGATGCTGAGATCTGGATTGGGATTGCAAAAAGGAAATACTTCCAAGATTTTTATAATGGAATAATCTATTACAATGGAACAATTTACAATCTCAAAATTAAAAAAAAATTATAGAATTAAAGAACAGATTAGTGGTTACCAGCTGTTGAGGGTGGACAGGGAGCTTCTTATGTTTTACTTAACACATTCTGGAACTCTGTATTTGAATGTAAGTTAGGATTTTTATGTTCTCTTGATTAATTGACTCTTCTAGCATTATGAAGGTATCTGGGTGATGCGAGTGGTTTGCAATTGGGTGCTCACCTAAAGTTGGGCTGTTTAAGCCTACCCAGTGTCCATGCAAAAGAAAGGCCTGGAAAACTGCTTGTGTAAAGATTATAGCCAAGAAAACCCCATGGACAGAAAAAGAAAAGAAAGTTCTAGCGAGCAGTTTTCCTCTGTAACACATATGGCTGCCATTAGTCTGAGTCAGTTCTCCGAATTTAGAAATCTAGAAGTCCAAGTTCAGGGTGCCCACTCTGAAGCAGCGGTCAGAAAACGGTGGCTTGTGAGCCACATGCGACTCTTTTGGAACATACATGTGGCTCTGAATTAAAATTGCAAATTTAAAAAGATTTTTTAGAAAATGCTGATTTCCTTTGTTTGCAGTGGTGCGAGTGGCAAAACAGGGAGGGTAAAGGGAGAATGGGTAGGAAAGAGGGAACCGATTACTTGGAACTGTGTGTGACCTCCTCCCTGGGGGACAGACAACCGAAAAGTGGATAAAGGGAGACGTC